TATCAGTTGATTTGCTGTAAGAACTTAATAAATAGTTGCAATTACAATTCTATTTATTGTTGACTATATTAGTAATATTAGTAATGATAGTGTAAACATTGCTATATATTTTATATTCATACATAGATAAATGCACTAATGACATCAATTGGCAATTATTTGCAATTCTACGGATTAAGGAATTATTGTATTGTATTGCATTATTGTATTGGATTGGAAAAAACTTTGGCATAACTATGTTATATCGGAATGGGAATGCTTTTATAATGATAATATAAACTTAGATTCATAAATAAATATTTTACAGATTAAAAACAATTTCATATTAATTTTTATAATATGCAGGAAAAGCTATAATAAGTATATCTAGAGACCAAATATACTTCTATTAAAGAACGTTGTTCAATAGCAGTTAAAGAAAATTGAGGACTGGAATTGGTAAAAAAACAGTTTTTCTAGCATATTATTCAAATTCTAAAATATAAGCATTTATATTGTTTTTCTCTTCAAGTACATAAACAAAAAGAACTAACCTATTTTGATCTACAGTAGAAATTTGATAACGTGCGCCTTATTGGCGAGATTTTGAGATATTTACTACTTGGCCGCCATTTTCAAATTCTAATGTGATGAATGGCATTGCAGTAAAGCGGCGCTGCAGCTTTTGCGAAAAAACTTTCGTTGTGCTCATTTCAATAGATCTCTCTTTAATAGAGAGATCTTTAATAGGTTGTGCAAGTAAGTGTTTTGAGTATTGTGTACTTCCTTAATTCAACTAAATTTTCTTAATTTTTTGGATGGACTAAATTTAAATGGTTTTTTTTTTCAAATTCAATATTCGTAATGGAATATTTTAGATTAATTACGTGTACTTTCAGTTGAAATTTAAAAACAGATGTTTAGTCGATATATTATATATCGCCTATCGATATGTTATATATCTTTTTTTGGCTATATATATTTTATACAAATATAAAATAGCAAAATTTGTATTATCAAGAAACATGTGTTTTAGATTTTTTAAAGAAAAAAAAACGCATTTAGAGATTATATCGTGTAAGAAATCTGGTATTTTAAGAAATTCAATTAAAATAGCAAAACACGATATCCAAAGAAGAAGTTTTCAAACAATAAATGCCACATTTTTATGCAACATCTGGTTATTGCTATAAATTCTTGCAACACAAAATATAAAAAATTGATATAAAAAATATTTTTAAGTGAAAATATATTATTAAAAATTAATAATAATTTCCATTTATATAGATTATACAAGAATGTACTTTTAATATTTTGTACAGAAGTTTCAAAAATAAGAATAATTGGGATAGAAAATGTTGTTCATTGATTATAATATCATCAGCTATGACAATATAGTGAATGACTTTTAAAAAAAAATATAAGATTAACCTCAAGTACAAATTATAAATGATATATTCCAACTATGAATTTTTCAACGGATAAAATTGTCACACAAATCGAACCGTATGCTTTATATACGCTATAAATTTGTTTGATAGCCTTACAGCGCTCCCTATACCATTAAATAACATGAGATATATCATGGAATACAATATAAACTTATAAGTAGTAACAGGTTTGATAAGAAACCAAAGTAATGGAGACCAAAATAGTTAACATAAATCAAGCTGGAATCTAAAAAGGACACAGATTTGTTTAAAAGATAAAGTAATGGTTACTATTTTTGCAATGTATGTAATTGTATTCTTCTGTCATCTTCATCTCCCAGTGGAGCACAGGGCTTTGATATACATAGGGTCTGTATACGTCATGAATTTATATTAGAAAGCAGGCTAATGAAAAGATAACTCAATTTTATTATATTAAATTTATTATATACATATAATATATATATAGATATTGTGGTGTGGGATGTTGGGTCAGCGTACCGTTTAACAAGTGGCTTCACTGATATGAAGGATTAGCAGAAGTAGACTATCACTAAGAGTTATAGTTAAATTTCAAGCTGGGGGTTTAGGACATGAATACTCTCTTTGACTATACAACACGCAGTACAAAAGTTTAGTTGAAACAATAGATACAGTATTTGCTTAAGAATCGTTGTCACCTTTCCGGAACTGCAATAACTATTCCGAATATCTATTTTAACATAATAGGAGTATTGGGAAAGAATTGTAGAAGAGTCTCATGACACGCACATTAAAAAAATTGGCATCTGTGCAATTAAAAAATTTCAATTAATAAATAAATATTTATGAATAGTTAATTTTATTTTATTGCTGTTAATTTTTTTACTGATAACAAGTTTAAGAGTTATGTGTTAAAGTCTTAAAATTAGTGTAAAACTAAGTTTAAATTTTAAAAATGTTAAACTTAGTTACATTATTGTAAAAATGAAGAAATTTATCAAAGTTAAACTTCATCAATTAAATGAAAAATGGATTTAAATTAAATATTTTTCCGTAATTAAATGTACTTAAATTAGGTAATTGTATGACAAAGATTTGAGATTATTTCATTGTTTTTTTTTTTTTTAATTTTTTAAAATAATTTTTAATACACTTTATCCATATTTCAGCGAAATTAAGTATTCAAAATCTGTTTTAAATTAACATCTTACTTCAGTTTTTCTTCTATAACGACTTCTCACTGTAAAACTTAAACTCAAACTGAGTGAAATATTTACAAGCAAATCATTCACTTTGAGTGAATAGGTGAGAATATTAAGAGTGCACTCAGTGACGTTTAAGATGTCATATTTACATAAACCAATCTAATAGATTTGCTTTTATAAGTTGATACATGGTGTTTTAAAAAGTTGTGGGATGGACATATAGGTGACATAAACTAAATAAATCGAGTTTCCTGCATAAGATGGATTCTATGCTTTGAATTATTTAATAAAAAAAAATTTATTTTAAATAATCTGAACGACCTAATTCCGGTTAAAAAAATATGAAAACTGAATAAATATTGGTCGTAATAACAATTTATTAATAATCTGATATTATTAAAATTACAATACAGTACATTACAATAATTCCGCACTATGTGAGAAAGAAATAGTCTTTTATTTTCTTCCCAACAAAGCTTTTAGCCAACCCACTACTATTCCTATTTTTTTCTGCTACAAAGTTGTCGAAGATGATCAACAAGAATGGTTTTCTGAAGACATATTAATATACTAAGACAAATCACGTACTAAATCCATGATGATGGAAGTAAAAGTAATGTTCTACTGAAAATGTGTGAGCAATAAGAAAATACTGCAAAAAATTTTAAAATATATTAATTGGAACTACCGAAATGATCAAAAATTATATTATATTTACAATATATTAAAGAAAATTCAATATACTAAAAATTAATATTTAATTTATGACTTAATTGTTTTAAAAATAGAGGGTTTTTTAACTGAAACTCTGAGACTTTTTTTAACGCTCTGCATTTCGGTCAATATTCGAAATGAAAATCATTACCAATATCAAAATATAATAACGTTGGTTAATGATCAAATCACATATAAGTCGTTGCACTCTTCTAGTTGTGAATAAATTAATGGTTAATAAGTTACACTTATAGTGATTTAAGTGAAGATTGATTTTTCTTTAAACGAAACAGAAAAAAAACTTCTTTACTGTGGAGTAAATAACCCAAAACTCTCTCTCAGACCTATTGTGAAATCTACTAGTGTTCCCTTATATTTATAGACTACAATATAAAAAATTTCTGAGAACTCAAAACTAGAATGCAAAACATCGATATTAATGACGATAAAATACTTACATATTTTGATGCAGTTTCAGTATGTTCCCATATATGTACACATTTACTTGGCTTATAAAATTATCATGGATAATTGGATCCTAATCAAGTTACTTAGTATCATGTCTCCCTTGCTCTCATTTAGTCGACTTTTATACAAAGAGCTTTTATATAAATGAGCTCATTATAAATAAATCAACTCATTTAAGGCGAAATATGTCAAAAGCAATCAACTCTGTAATCAATCAAGTATGTAAAATGTAAACGAACCAATTATTTCACACGCGTAAATCAGCTAATATAAATAGACACAACCCAATTCTAATCACATTAACATGTAATAACATGTAGTAGTTTTAGCTGCAGTGCAACCATGATATAAGATGATGAGTCTAAACGTTTTGTTCCAGACTTGAATACCATTGACTGTTTTAACCAGAGCAAACAACTTTAAGATTAATTTAGATATTTTTAACTCATTGTTTGTATATTACTTAAATGAGCGTACACTGAGCCAGTTCTAAAAAAAAATAATCTAACAGTAAGCACCAAATATCGTGGCATCAACAGGTATTAGCTATCAAGCACAAATTGATATGAAACTACATGCACTCTTATGTTCTTATGAACATGATTTTCCAACTGAATGTTTAACCATTGACCAGATATTTACACAGCAGTAAATCCTGAAAAATATCATGAATACAAAAATCAGATACAACATTTTTTTGTCAATTTCAAAAGTAACATTCGATGCTTTCGATTCGATACAACTGTACTTTCGAAGCTGTGGAACGTTTCGCCCATATTTTCACCACAGAAACCAGTAGCAGCGACGTCAGACCGGATATCAGAGGAAGTATAAGTATAGCCATTAAGTGATAATATAAGCTCAGCAGGCAATAAGAAATGAGTCGACAAAACTTAATAAAGCTTCAGCGAAAAGGATATTTGAAGCGACTGTTGAAAAAGTATAACACAGGAGAAGACCATGTTCCTGATAAGCTGATGAAGTCGAGGCAGTGCTAACACTACTGCGTCAATTCAATACTCACTTCCACAAGTAAAAAATTTAGTAATCCTTTTCAAAAAGAACTGTGTTATTAATATTCACAGATTCATAATCTTTGAGATTAAGTACAATCTAATGAGATGCATTTTTTAATGAAACTTATCTGATCGAAATCATGTCTCTTTTATGTATCTTTTTTTAAGACACATAACTAATTTAGTAATTACAAACAATATTTATTAGCAATTTAGACCAGAGAGTGTTACATTCATTTATTGTCGTTAATAGTAAGTTTAGAAAATTTGAGTAAATTTCTTGCGGGGTTTTTACAAGCCGTCACTTCCTTAGTTTATTTTCGAAGTTTAGTACTAGGGTTTGCTTTTATGTTTCGAAGCAGACGCATCACTTAGCATTTTGGGTGTCACAGTTTTTCAAGATTAAAAACTAGAAGTAGGAAAAAAAATATATTTTCATTAAGGTATATATTTTCTAAATTTTATTAAATCTCACAAATGAACTTACCATGAATACGAAAATGAATTGTTGAATTCTGTTTTAGTGACTCTATATTGACTGAAGAGCGTGACTTTAATATGGGGATTATTTTTTGCAAACTCTTCTACATTGAAAAACCAACGATCATTTTCCTCTAATGTAAGTGCCTGCAATTTCTTAACATTTAAATTTACTAGACTCGTTCCACTTAGGTCGTAATTGCCGATAATAGATAATTTTGTCAAATTTCTGCATTTCTCTAATATAGCTACCAGCATATTGTCTCTGAGTCTGCAGAAATCTAAATTTAATTCTTCCAGACATTCGCCAGCTGCATTTATGCACTTTACATATTGTATATTAAATTCAATGAAATGTAATTCGAGACTGGTAAGGAATTGAGGATTTTGCACCAATGGATAAAGAAGGCAAAGTATTTTTTCTGTTCTTATTGAGTAACCTGCACTTAGATATATTGACTTTAAGTATTTTCCAATTAACAGTAAATGACTATATTTGTATTTATATTCGTCCCTGAGGCAATAACGAAAATGCTTTTCTAACGCTAAACGTTGTTTGATGATTTCATCAAATCTTTCATTGAATACGCCAAGTAATTCCAATACGTCTCTGACGCTCAATCTGCGCATAATTTCATATATGCAATCGTTATTAAGGTCATATATATGAAGGCGGTTGTTATCAAGTATCTAAAATAAAAAAGTTTTTTTTAAAAAGTATATTAAGTGATTTGTTACTTTATAATTTATAAATTTTATATATAAAATCAGAACATATATTTATAACGTTTAATGATACTTAACTAAGAATAGAGTAGGATTATTTACTATATATTTGACTGCTCTTATGCAACAATAGAAAATTGATTTAAGAATACTTAGGCTTAGTATATTATGAATAGTAAAAAATAATGTGCGATCAAGGCATATAGAAACTTAGCTTTGTTTTAGATATTAATTACAAGACACTAAAAATAAGTGGCACCTAAAGTGGCTCCCTTACTTATCTCTACTAAAATCAGTAAAGCTCAAGAAATTTTCTTGAATTGCTTCGATAAGTCCTTTAACTCAACATATGCAGTTGTCAGCTACTACATATATGTAAAACCGTGCCAAGTTTTAAACGTACACATAATGGAGTAATATATGAATTCAATACGTAGGAGTATGAATACTACAACCTGGTAATCCTATTATCCGTAATCACATGCGCCACCACATTTGTTTTTAATATAAAATACTCACAAAGTTTAATATAAACAATTTTACTTAGCAAATCAACGGGGAAACAGACAGACGCATGGAAACATCGAAGCTCATACCACAAAAATTGATTTTTAATCTTTTCAATTAATATTAATGTTTCCCACTTAACTAGTTTATAGAGACAAATTGGATTACAAATTCTCCGTACCACATTCGAAAGGATTTAGTGGCATAATTAAATTTTTGATTGAATATAAGATTAGAAAAACAACCAAATAAAACAATGAAACTCTGCATTTTGTAAAAGCCATTTAATTAGTAAAGTTTCTGAAGTTGTGAAAGAAAAGCAAAACAATTTAGTAGTGAGCAAAAATTGTAATAAATCTAAATAAAAATATTTCTGACATTTAATCATGCAATAAGCATTAACAATGGAACTAGAAAGAAACTTTATATTTAAGTACACTTTAAAATACACGTGAATACATTATTGATTGTTGACTTAAAAAATAAATCATTTTTAATAATTCGAGAAACCACTTTCATACAGTATAATTTTCCTTAACTCCACTTTTTCGAAGCATCTTATAAATCATAAGTTTTAACTTTATAGCAGTTCTCCGGAAAGTCTGCATAATGCATATTCATAAATGGTCTTTGATAAACATCACAGAGAATGAATATTTATACATTAAAAACTGTTTGTGTTATTATTTCATCTCATTTTAGTTTGAACGCCGTCATTTTAGGTTAGTTGCAGAACCAACTTTATAACTGGTTCAATAATCGTATGAATCACGAATTCCATATTATAGTATTTTTCCGGAAGATCTGTAAAATACACACCTACTGTAGTTTATTATTTTTCATTCAATGAAAATCGTTTATTAAAAAAGTGTTTTTGTAACTATGAGAAGAGCTTTAAGTCAGATAGAATTAAAACTGGCGCACAGACTGGTTCTTGATTTCAGTATAGTATTATGAAAATACATTGTTGTGATGGGAAATCATTTTGTCATTCTGTAAGCCGGTTTTTTCACAAATTTTTGCATTCTAATGATTCAAGAATAATCTCAGGTTATTATTCCTGATGTGATTTAATAATAAAAATTTTTTTTGCATTCCAAACATCTGATCTTAACATAATACATTCTTAGCCGATTTCTGATCACGAACTTGCTTTGGAGTTACGGAATCAGCTTCACGTGTGCCTTAATATTTTGTTTTCAATATTTTTAATTTATATTTTTTAAAAAATATTGTCTCTGTATGCTCTTTAACAGTTTTCAGTAATAAAAAATGCACTGAAACATTCTTGTCCATCGAATTTTCTAAATGATGATGACTCCCTACTTACATATTTACTGAAGTTTTCCACCAATTGGATAGAGACAAATTCCGTATAGAGAGTTAAAACATTGCAGGTATGCACCTGTAAATCATTGTACTTTGATTGTTTGCGGGGGTCATTAACATGCTTTTGGCTTCTAATTTCGAGGCATGCTTACGTCCTTCACTAGTGGTTGATTTCACGTGACGGGTGCCTGATTCCGTGCACAACTCCAGAGTATAGGACTCACCAGCGGGGGTCAGATAATTATTCAGGAGTGCCACGAAGACGCAGTATTTAGATATTTAAAAAAAAAATGGATTGCAGAAAAACTATTAAGTTCAGTAGATTTGCGTATTCGATCGGTACGTTCTTTGTTAAGGTTATAAAAATTGATCATTGTATGTAAATAACTGATATTGAATAATTTTTTTTTATTTTGTTTATAAGATTAAGTATAATTACAATTAATTCAAGAACGCAGTACAAAAAAATCATTTCTTGCAAATATGTACCACAGTAATAACATTTACAGAATTTCACGCATCTGGCCGATTGCTGTTGCGTACCTCATATTTTTCGTTCCAATACAGTTACAAGGCAAGACAACGGCTTTCACAATTTTATCACCCTTTAGTAATACATTATTAACTTTTAAGAATTTACTCAATGGTGTTCTATTGCCAAGCAATGGTAATTTGGCGGGAGGTGGTCGGATTCTTAAGTCGGATGAATTGAAAGATGCTGCACCGTTTTAGGTAAGTGAAAGTTAAAAAAGTATTGAATTTTTATCAAAAAACTTTTTTTGTATTGTTTATTTGAGCTAAGCAACGTAAAATTATTTTTAAGTAATGAAAAATTTTTTTTTCTGAAGTATTCTAATTTTATTTTGAAATTGCACTTGGGTTAATTTTGAAATTTTAACAAAGAACACCGATTCAAATATATTAAATTTACTTATAATCAAACTGTTAAACCAATAAATAGTTACTAAATACAACCATCCGTTTTAAAGTTGTGAACAATAAAACGCCACATACTTTATGCCCAGCGAATATGTGCTTTATTCTTTGTTCGCTTCTAAGATTTGTTAAAAATCAGATCCAAAACACAAAATAAAATAAATCAAAGAATACTGTGAAATTATGTCAAAATTACCTTAAGTTCTTGCAAAGGTCACACAAATATTCACGGTTCCATATCACACTTTATTTGATGCTTTTTATATTTTGAAGCTAATCTATCAATGCCGTACGTACGGGAACGATTTTTTTTACTTAAGCTCTGCTGTTTGTTTTATTTGAATAATGTTTTATGTGCGTGTGCAGCGTGCTTTTTAGTCCGTGTGCCATGACTTCTTATGGCCAGCGATGTCGTTATTGCGTTAGTAGCCAACAACAAACCACCAACCAACAAGCAACCAACAACTGGCTGTAAATAGCAGACAGCAGGCAGTGCGCAACAGGCAACAGGCAACGGGCACACGGAGTGGCTGCGTCATCACAAGCAAAGCAGTAAAGCAGCATTGCTCAACTGAGTCCTTAAATAATTTTGAATTTATTTTTTTTTATTATTTGCTCTTTTTATTTTAATTTAAGTACAGGCCTTGGACTTTTTGAGGTATGCACAAATTTACTCATCGATATATGCGCTTTTACCAATGAGTTCTATTGTTTGCATGTATAGTTAGCTTATTTTGTAGGTAAGCTCATTTTGTAGTGTGTGTGTGTGTGTGTGTGTGTGTGCGAGTCAGTGAGTGTTGTGTGTTTGTATATTGCTTTTGTTATTTCTCCACTAAACTAAATTTTCCACATCGTTAATTTATATTAATATGATTTCTGTGTCACATCAACCACCATCTTCACACTAAGTGCAAGGCTAACAGAAATACAAAAACAACACCAACAACAACAATAACAACAAAATAATACAACAACAATAACGGCAAAAAAATACAATAACACTAGATAAAAGCATTAAAAAAACTAATAGTACAATAACAAAAACCGAAAAGCATGTGTATGTCAAGTACCTACAACAAGAACAATGATAATATGTAAGGCTAACTGTGGGTCGTAAGAAAAAGAAAGACCAACATTTCTGCCAACAACATTGAGAATGAAAGCGGCAAAAATAGCAGCAGCAAGTGTGACAGCAATGTCACCATAATATTATTATGAATTTATATATATTATTTTTCTTTTCGCTAACCCCGCCGGACCTGGGTATAGACAGAGTTATCGATGCCGTCTGGTTTCGTTCATTCATACATTTTGGCTTTGGTTTTGGGTTTAGGTTTGGGCTTCGTCGTTCTACTGCTGCTTGATTGTTGCTGCTATTGCAGTCATTGTTGGCTCCACTTCGTGCTCTCACACCGTAAGTGACGAACAAATGGCGACGCTGTGTTTATCTAAAATTGTTATTTTTCACACTCACGCAGTTCAATGAATTCGGAAAATTACGTTTGGGACTGTGTGTGCTCTTTAGTTGTTGCAATAATTGTTCTTGTTGTTTTTGTTCTTCGCGTTAATGTTGTTGTTATCGTTTTAGTATTGGCCTGGCCTTGCTATTTGTCTGTGCTGCAAGTAAACCCAGTAGAAAACGGATCGATCCGTCATCGAAGACGTCTTCAAGACATGGATACATACATGAAGACCGATCGATCCAAATGTATGACGGTCTTCGAAGACACTTTCATACAAATTAGCCAAATGTCTTCAATGAATTTTTGCGTACATGTCTCGAAGACCGTCTCGAAGACCATGTCTTGCATAACGGACGCATTCGACAGAAAGTTGTGCGCTCTTAGTGCAGTGCTCATATAATTTTTTCACCCTTTTTTTTATTTCTACTCTTTTATTGCGCTCTTTAAATTTTAAATGAATTTCAATTTTCTCTTTAAATAAGTAGAAAGAAATTGTTGTATTTTGTACTTTTATTTATTTTATATAATAATTTCTTACATTACATTCAAAATTAAAAGTTTTAAAAGTAAATTATAAATTTTATTATAAATTATTATAAATTTTATTAAGATATTAATAATAAACTAGTAAAAACTAGTAAACATAATGAAAATTAATTTAAATAATTAACTTAATATAACTTAGCATATCTAAAATTAACTAACACTAATATAAAATAATTTATAGCA